GGGTCATTCCAGATATTGTTCAGAAGAACAGTGTACCTTGATTAAAAAGTTGATTTGAGAGGGGAAAAGATATAAAGAAGTGCAGAAAATGATAGTCTGCTCAGCTAAAATGATCGCAAATGCTTTAAAATGGCAACCAAAACCTGAAAGACATGGAAGAAAGCGAAAAACTACCATTCGAATGGATAGAATAGCCAAAATGGCAAGGACTCAGCCAACAATCAGCTCCAGGAAGATCAAAGAAGGTGTAAAGTTCCCTGTGAGGACTGTTACAATTAGAAGACGCCTATGTGAAGCCAAGCTATCTGCAAGAAGCCCCCGCAAAGTCCCACTGCTGAAAAAAAGACGTGCTGAAGAGGCTACAATTTGCCAAAGAGCACATTGACTGGCCTAAAGAGAAATGGCACAACATTTTGTGGACTGATGAAAGTAAGATTGTTCTTTTTGGGTCTAGTGGCCGGAGACAGTTTGTCAGACGACCCCCAAACACTGAATTCAAGCCACAGTACACTGTGAAGACAGTGAAGCATGGTGGTGCAAGCATCATGATATGGGGATGTTTCTCATACTACGGTGTTGGGCCTATTTATCACATACCAGGGATCATGGATCAGTTTGAATACATCAGAATACTTGAAGAGGTCATGCTGCCTTATGCTGAAGAGGAAATGCCCTTGAAATGGGTGTTCCAACAAGACAACGACCCCAAACACACCAGTAAACATGCAACATCTTGGTTCCAGACCAACAAGATTGACGTTATGGAGTGGCCAGCCCAATCCCCGGATCTTAATCCAATGGAAAACTTGTGGGGTGACATCAAAAATGCAGTTTCTGAGGCAAAACCAAGAAATAGAGAAGAACTGTGGAATGTAGTCCAATCATCCTAGGCTGGAATACCTGATCACAGGGGCCAGAAGTTGGTTGACTCCATGCAACACAGATGTACAGCAGTTCTCAAACAGTGCGACTACAACTAAATATTCATTAAGTGATTCAAAGGAAAGCAAAATCTTCAAACATTTTTCAGTTTATATAGTGAATGTTTGAGTTTGTAAAGAAGAATACAAACACTGATATTTTTTTGAACAGTCTAATATTCACCTTTCTTAAATTTTTTTTTTTTTTTTTCTTTTTGTTTTTTTTTTTTTTAGAGGAACAACACAAATTTGATATAATTTTTCTTCATGTTTTGATTTGGAATATAATGTGTAGTGTTCCCAATGCATTTGTGTGTATGGAAATAAAAGCTATTAGAAGGATTTTGAGCTTTATTTACTTTTTTCAACACACTGCTATTATTTTGAACACAATTGTACATGGGGTTTTGTGTTTCTATTGATTCAAACCGTACAGGAAGAAGAAACTCCAGTCCTGGCATGCAAGAGTGACTCCACAGGATGCTACAAGAGAAAGGAGCCACCCTGAATCAGGAAATGTGGGGCAGCACTCTTGGCACCAGCTTAAAAAGTAACATAGGCAAGGATTAAAAGATAAAACTGCATACTAAATCAATGATTAAATCAGCTGCTGAAAATGCTAAAAAAGCTGAGGGTTTAATATCGCTTTAAGCTGCTGCAAAATACATACGAATGAATAAACCTTCAGGGTACATTAAAGTGAACCACATTATAGCTACTAGTCCTCATGCACACTGGACATTTTGATAACGCTGGTTACATTAGCTGTGTAAAGTCACCTTAAAACGTGAGTTTTTCAGGTTTTTTTTTTTTTTTTTTTTTTTTAGCGTTTTTGCATTAGCGTGTAACGGCTTTTCGCAGCATTTGCAGGTTTTTTTTTTTTTTACCCCCCCAAAAAATGGGGGGGGGGGTCCAGTTTGCTGAATTTTACCATGGTTTTCAGCATTCAACCCATTTTACAGCTAAACCTCTCTAGAAGCTTAGTAGTCCTGGGGGTTTTTTTCCCAGCCAAAAAAGTCCCAGCCAAAAAACGTTGATTACAGTCTACAGTATGTGTTAAGGACCGACTGGCGGTAGCCTCTCGTGACCCACAGGCTGGAATCCCTCAGGGCGCAGAATCTAAGCCCCAGTCTGCTGTTTCACCAGAGCCCCTGATGGTGGGGATGGACCTGAGACCAGGTCGCGACCCCCGAGTTCAACCAGCTGTGGTAGAGGTGGATTTGCCAGTGGTAGGTACAAGTGAGAGCCAGATGTGAAGAGGTAGTGTATAACGTAGTCAGACAGGCCAGGTCGGTAACCACAAAGGCAGACGGTACAGATCAGCAGGCAAAAGGATAAACGGGTCACAGGCCAGGTTCAGCAACAGGAGGTCAGGTAAACAGGAGAAAGCAGAAGAATGGTCAGACAAGCCAGGGATCAGGGCAGGAGAGAATCATGATAATCCGGGTCAGGCAGGTTCGGCAACAAAGGCAATCTCAAGTACTAGGAACAGGAATAAGACCATACGGCAATGTGAGCATTGCAAGAGCTGTTTTAAATAGCCAGCCTGGCACTGACAGGCACGCCTGGGTCCTAGTGCCTGCCAGCACTGTCATTGGTCACAGGCGCGCCTAGGTCCTAGTGCCCACCTGCCTCTGTCTTGTTGGAATCCTACGCATGTGCAGATTCATGCGTCGTGGCAATCTTCTCATTCCCTGGCCGTATGTGTGCATGGACACACAGGATAACATGCTGGGGGGTTTACTGGCTGTAGAAAAAAACATCCACAAGCCAAAAAAAGCAGCTGTAAAAACGTCCAGTGTGCATGAGGACTTATGTCCAAACGATAGATGCGTTTTGGTTTTTGTGTCTGACTAACCATGATCTAGGGCAGCCTTTCTCAACCTTTTAAACATGGACGAACCCTTGAAATACCTTTCCGGTTTTAGGGATCCCCTGGTAAAAATTATTATATCTACAACTCCTGATACATTAGTGGGAAGAATGCTCCTTACACTTGTCATTGGGAAGAATTATCTCCTTACAGATAGCTTCAAATATCAATGATGTTAGTAGAAATTTATCTTAGAGGCAGGAGGTTGCTCAAGGAACCACAATCAAGCTCTGAAAAAACCCTAGGGTTCCATGGAACCCTGGTTGAGTAACCCTTTGTGACGATCGCGGTGTCAGACCCCAGCCCTTCTCACCAACTTGGACCGAAGGACTAGCCAATCTAAAACTGCGCTGCCACTTGCGTAACAAGGCCACTCTCAGCTGCACCCTGCGCAAAGATTTTCCAGCTTACTGGACCATAATCTATGTGCCAACAGCCTAAGAGCGATTGTTACTGGGTCATTTTAATTACGCAATTAACTCTTCACACTGCCACCACCACCTTTTTACAGAGAAGGCGGAAAACTCACAAATCTTAGCAGTAACACTATGATGTTTGAATAAGCATCTGTATACACACTGTCACTGCAGACAGATGTATCCAGAGGTTTTAAAACACACAGTAGCACTCTTCAGAGACAGGGATTCTTAGTTTGCATTAAAGAGCTTTAGAAACCGTTCAACACTTTTCAGAAAACAGGATTATTACTAAAAAGTTCAAAATGGTGCAATAAAAAGATTTACAGAAAAGATTATATATATATATATATATATATATATATATATATATATATATATATATATATATATATATATATATATATAGCAATAACACAACAGAGAGATAAAGGAGTACTTGCAGAAGTCCTGGTTTAAGCAGAGTCCAAGTGTCCTGAACAAAAGGGTGCCTTTTCTCCCAAAGTTGGTTCCTGATGTTAAAAGGGAGAATCTCTTCAGCTCTCTCTCCAGACATGACAGCCTGTTTTCTAGGAACCCAGCAGGATGTTTCCTTAAAGTAGAGAACCAATCGCCTCATTTAGGAAGGAAGGGTGTTTAGGCAGCGACTCAGGATATGACCAAATCTCTCCCTCATTTATACCATGGCCAATAACCTTCACTAGGTACATGTAGCAGCCTAGGCACTGGTAGATTAATATGCAGAATGATATCCTGAATGTCTAGACACCAAATGACATATCTTACCGTTCCAGATAATGACATATTGCTTTCTACTCTCGTGTAGGTGCCACATAGGGGTGTTAATGTGTCAGGTGACTCGTATTTAAACTGACCTATCTGAATATATGCTTTGCTTTATTGTACCTTGTTCCTGTTGGGATTTATGCATTTATATGAAAAAGTGGTTTCAAGTGGGATGTATGTTTTACTGCCATTCTGGAATGCTTTTCATGTCCAGTGACAGACTGATTTATAGCTTTACGACCATGCCAAGGCAAGGGTCTGAGAGACATCATGGAACCAGCTAATTGGGTTTCCAACCATGAAGCGTATCCAGCTGTGCCCTGTGCACTCCTGAACTCGGCACACACACACAGACCACATTCCTTGCAAGGGGGCTGGAGGGAGAGAGAATGATATTTGCAGAGTATGATACAAGATGGTGGATCTTTAACAAAAAAAAATGGTTGTCCGTGTCCAATCTGTGCGCACAATCATCACACCCTGATCTATTGTATATAATCACATCATTTAAAGTGTACATCTAGGTAAAGTATAACCTACATTATAATGCTTGTTCCTTGCTACCAAAGTGATTATATTGGAAGTAGTATTTCATTGCCCCTTTTACAGGGTATGTCTCAGCTAGTTGCTGCATAGTATTAGTAGTGTTTTGACAAAAGAAGCTGCATCCAATGCAAAAGAAGGATAAATGCAATGAATACTTATGATGTCACTGTTGCCAATCTAGATTTGTTGATGTACCTTAAAATTCTGCTTTTAACTTACTTTTGGTACAAGAACTGGTCAATAGAAATCCTCATAATTTTGCTGCAGGTATATATTTAAAAGTAACTCAGAATATCTAACGTTTTTTCTTTCTTGTGTTTTCTTCTAGAGTCTGGAGATTTTGAATGTATTTTATTCCCACCTGATACTTTAACCGAAGGACTAAGTGGCTTAGTGAAATAGCAACCGTCACTGCTTTCCCATAAACATAAGAATCCGAGGAATTAAGCCAAGTCTACCATGGAAACTCTGTCCCAGGATTCTCTGTTAGAGTGCCAAATTTGTTTCAATTATTACAGTCCTCGAAGAAGGCCAAAATTACTTGATTGCAAGCATACTTGCTGTTCGGTTTGCCTGCAGCAAATGAGGGCTAGCCAGAAAGACCTTAGATGCCCGTGGTGCCGAGGTGTTACAAGGTTACCTCCTGGATATTCCGTGTCCCAGCTACCTGACGATCCAGATGTAGTGGCAGTCATTGCAATTCCTCACACTTCAGAAAACACCCCGGTCTTTATTAAATTACCAAGCAATGGATGCTACATGTGGCCACTTCCTGTCACCAAAGAAAGGGCTCTGTTGCCTGGTGATATAGGCTGCAGATTACTACCAGCAAATCAGCAAAAACCAGTCACCCTGGTGACCATGCCAATGGAACAGCAACCCCTGCAAGGTACTATGGCACAGGATATTGCAGAGGAGGAACATGAAAGAAGGGGTGTTGTGAAAAGTTCCACCTGGTCTGGAGTTTGCACTGTCATTTTGGTAGCATGTGTTTTGGTCTTCTTACTTGGAATTGTCCTGCACAACATGTCCTGTATCTCTAAGCGCTTCACGGTCATTTCATGTGGTTGAAATGGATTCTTCCTATACTCTTTGCCACGTATATGTTAAAATAAAAGCAAACGTACACAGGAGCATTGTATTATGAAACCAATATCAACTGCAAAAGGGTGGGAACTTGATAACTTCTGGAGTTCTGGGGCACGAGAGAGAGAGATGTCCCAGCTTTCCCCTCTAACAGTTTGGTTAGAGTTAATGAAGATTGCATGCACAGTCATCATTCCTTCTTAAACAGGACTTGCGTGGTACATATGACTGTAGGGTAGTATGATGACTTCTTAGCTCATTGTGGTATGGCCATATCCACCAGACATTGATCAAGCAACTTTTTTTCCTTGAGATTTAGTTCAACATGAGTACAATTAACAAATCTCTGGTAAATTTTTAAGGATGGAGAAAGTCAAGAGGGATAGTCATTAGAACTATAACCAAGCAGATATCAAAACAAGCCTTTCTTTTGAGTACATCAATAATATGTATCTGCATACATCTCAGGTCTCCTTTTACTGACATGGCTGTTATAGGAATATAATGTTTTGTAGTACATTAAACATTGTACTGCCTGCAATTGATTGTCATATATTATCAATTTCCTGCATTTTTTTTTCAGGTGCCTATAAAACAGATGAGGCTGAATGTACTATATGTAGGGTTAAGGTTTCAAGCTTATCTGTGTGATGCAAGTAAAACATGGTGGTACGTGTCTTACACATGATGATCAGGGAAGGAGTAATCTCATCTTCTTGCAATAAAGATGATAATAGCGACATACTGAAGTATATTTGGTGGATCATAGCACTTCGTAATATTTGGTAAGGAGTGTTATGTGGAACAAGGCTTTATTATTAAATATAGAGTCCATATTCAATCATAATGATGTAACATCTTGTTGGAAAATTGTAAACTTTTTTTTTTTTTTTTTTTTTATCTAGAGATTCATTCCAGAATATAACCAATACTTTTATTTTGTCAAATGTCACTTTCCTAAGCCAATATGTATGTAATAGAAAAAAATTGTTGGGTGTCTTTCGGTTCTCTATTTTAACTTAGAAACTCATCTTGACAGCTAAAGGAGATGTGTGATGGGTATCAAAGGTTATGTTTCTGCAATTTAGCCACAAAGCAAAAGAACGTAATGATAGTTTGTGGATGGATAAGTAGTAATTATTATGCTATTATTTGTATGCCATTGTCTTTGTGAAGCTGGCCCATCAATAAACTATGATTAAAGTTGTAGGATATAAAAAATAGATGAACTGTCAACATTAAAACTTTCATGTTTTTGTAATATTTTCTGCCACATTTTTTTTCATTGCAGACTATTTACAGCTGTAAAAAAATATGTACCCGATCATTTTCTCCTTTTTTTTTTTTTTTTTTTTTTTTTTTTTCTACAGTCATTCTTCTGTATATACTTAAGATTTTGCAGTAATTAAACATACATCTGCATATTTATTTGCCTTGTATGGAGTACATAATAGTGTAAATACAGTATTACATTTTTTTTTACAATAAAATCAGCTAAAATTCCTACAGAGTTTATATAAATTGAAAATATCTAGAGCTGTGTTTTTCTAAGAAATCTGTGAAGGCAAGAAAAAAGTTGTCTTTTGGGGGTTTAAAGTGTATGTAGTCTATTATTAGAGAGTGAAGTAGAATAAATGAAGGATCAGGCCAGATGAAAATTCCACTATAGGAGGCGTCTTTAAACTAAGCCTGCTCTTTGTTCATACTAGAGAAAAGAACAGGTTCATTTTACAGGAGTGACTTTTAGCAGCCAATACTTTTCTTTTCCTGCAGTCTCCGGCTACCCAAGAAATAACTCCAGGTATGTGTAGGGAAACAAATGACACACAGATCTGCCCCCCAACAGTGCAATGATCAGTTGTCAGACTGACTGCTCTCATGTGGGTAGAGGGGTGGTATGCAAAGTAGCCCAGCACAAATTTAGCCATACACAGGAATCCCAAGTGGTCTTGCTGTGAATCTGGGGTAAAGCTGACCATACATGGATTGAAGTTCAGCATGGACAAGCCAAATTTCAATCCATACTTGGCCACTGCATCTTAACAAATGTCCAATAAAAGCCTTGCAGGTAGTAGACTGCAGGACTGATCTGTGTATTCGGTTGACAGGAAACTCTCCGCGCTGCCAGAATACAATAGCGCATCACTTCAAATGTGTAGATAGGGGAATTGGGTCAGTCTTTTTGTTCAACCCATTGGCTGAATGAAAAAAAAAATGACCCATGTATAGCCAGCTCAAATCCTAGCTGCTTAAAGTTCTCTTCTAGAGTGAACCTTTTGTGCCAGAATGAGAGATAATTATTTCACATAAGGAGTCACGATGCCATTTTATCTTTAAGAGAACAATGGCAGTGGAACACAATTTTATAAACTGTCCAATTGTTTTCTATTTTAAGAATTGTCTGGCATTGCAGCCAAAAGTGACTTAATCTAGAGAATCCTAAACCATCTAGGAATATGTAGCTGACATTTAAAAAAACGCTTGGTGAACTAAAACTGAAAGTGGGTCCTGTGCTGAGGCCTAGAACACCCCAAGAGCAATGTTGAAATATCTTGAAGACAATGGCATCAGGGCAAAAGTTGTAGTGATTGCAATCATCTTAAAAGGGAACCCATTAGATTAGATATATAACAGCTAGTTGTGACCTTGGTCCTGAAAGTGCAGGCTTTTGGGCCCTCATCCTCATCATTGCTTTACCACTCATGTGTTACAGACCTTGTGTAAATTTGGCTATATACGGAGTAAATTTTTTTCCTGCACTCAGCTTGCAGGAAAGAAAATTGCTCAATTACCCCATCAACACAGTCATTGTTATTGGGGAAATCTCTCCCGTGGAGTCATTGTGTTCTCTCGGCAGGGGGGTATCCCCACCGGGAGAACACAGTGATTAATGCTGTCCTCTATAATAATCACATGTAAAACCTGACAGGCTGGTTGTACCCAAGTTGTTCGATCAGTCAACTTGGGTACATTCAGCCTGCCCATACATGGTTCGAATCTCATCCAGTTCAGTAGGGAGATTCGAATTCTCTATGGCCGGCTTAAGTTTCCATATTTCTATATTACGTGTTCCTGCTGCTACCTTTTTATTATTGCTAGTCACATTATATACTAGTATATTACAACCCAGATTTATGTGTGTATTCTTATGCTCTGTTACAGGAATAACACTGCATTATATCTCTGAAGATTATCTTCGAGATTTGAGTTGTTTTAGTAAAGGTAAATACTGTGAACTGTTAATTTTGCAAGTGAATTTTCCACAAAGCTTAGTTAATGTGGTGAAATTTCACTTTGCAAAGAATACCTAATTTTGTGAAAGGAATGTTTTTTTGTTTTTTTAAAAAAACATTTTTGCATGCACCAGCTTGAATGATGGAAGTCAGCGCAGCTTCACCTCGTTCACGAAGTTCTGACCATAATTCCCTTGCATAGTGACCAGCCTATTTACCGTTTAGTAAATCAACCTCTTTGTCTCTATTTCAAAAAAGCTAACTATGAGGCTTGTTGGCAAAGAAAAGTATTAATACGTATGTGTCCCACCAGTCTTCGTAGTCTTGAAAAGATGAGCTTGCTGAAAAGTCTTCTGTATCCAGAATTTCTGGGAGTGCTGGGTACCTGGTCCCCTCTGTACTTTGTGGTTTCATCCGAAAGCCACAGCATTACTATAGAGCACAGTAGAGATGTAGAAACCGGTGGAAGGCACCACAGTGCTGAGAGGGGAGCCTGCCAGCCTAGTCATCTGAAAATGTATCAGATGCTGACATTTTTTCTTCTTGATGTCCTCAAGACAAAGACTGGTGGCTTAAGCAGTGGGACGGATAACTATTCTTTTCTTCACAGGCAGGCCACTTTCTTGTGTTTTTTTTTTTTTTTTTTTTTTTTTTTTTTTTTTTTCTTCATCAGTGTCACTTTAAAAAAAAAAAAAAAAAAAAAGATGTAAAAAGCTTCTGTATTGATTTTGAAATTAAGAGATGTGACTCAGGTAAGAATTTACTACATTTCCTCAAATTGCCAATCAAAGAGTATCTCTTCCATCCATAAAGCCGGCTTCTGTAGATTTATTTCTGTTCTTCAATAATGTCTTGATGTGAAATAAAACCTTTCAGTTCAATCCATTTATTGTGTTATAGCCTCTTCTCTGTAGGAAGAACTCATTATCCGGAGGAATTAACGCACATGATCTAGTGCAAACTGCAAGGCAAATATTGTACACATTGTGTAACGCCATACAATTTGCTCTACAGCACGTGTTCATTTTTCAAATGTTGTGCTAGAGGCTGTCCTTTTTTCAAAGTACAGATCTAAATCTCTTTCTATTAATTCCGCATGTAGAGCTTTTGTATATGTTTCAGGGTATGCACAGATAAAAAATTGTTTTGTTCACCTGTTATTTGTTATTAAATTCTTCCATTTAGCTTGTATTTCTTGTTTGTTTATTTTATAAAGCTTAGTAAATGAAACAAGTAAAACTGTTCATAATTCAGGTCATGCATGCAACCATCTGCTGCATATCTCAAATGGAATCAGAATAAAGTAGCAGGGCCTCTGGGCTTCAGCTGCTCTCCAAATGATTCCCAGTGGGATTCCCAGTACAAAAATGGAACTTAAAATGAATGTGAAATCCAGATATGTGTCAAGATTTCACCAAATTACACACAAAAGGAGAGAAAAAAATATTTGTTGGTGGATAAAAAAAAACAAAAAACAAACTTTTTTAGTATGGAAAATGTGGTCTGTGCATGTTGTAAAGTTTTCAAAGGATCCAGGTCCTTTAACATTCTCTCACATGACCTTAAGGCTAGGTTCGCACATGTGCCATATACTTCTTCACAAAATATCCCTCTTTAAGTCCAAAAGTTGGGAGGTATGTTTTAGGTCAGGGGTGTTCAAACTATGGCCCTCCAAGCTGATGAAGTACTACAAGTCCCATTATGCCTCTGGGTGTCTTGCCTGTGGACGTCAGAGTCTTGCAAGGCCTCATG